CCCCAAAACCCCAAAACCCCAAAACCCCGCTATGAGATATGAAGTATTTAAATTAATATAAGTAAGAAATTAAGTGAAAGTTGTATTTGATTGAATTCAAAGTTTCTTCCTTTATTGTAAAACCTTTTTAGCGCAGAGTCTTCCTGCTACTCCCATCACTCCACCTCCAGCATGTTAGCCACTACCACACATAAACAAATTTCTGAATGGTGTATTAGAGTTTGCATATCCAGGTCCAGGTCTGGAGAAGTATACGTTATTCATTGAGAGAGCTCCGTGGAAAATATTGCCTCCAGTCAGGCCGAATATTCTCTCTAGATCAGGTGGAAGTAGCACATCTTTGTGCACGACAGACTTAGAAAACCCTGGAGCATATTCCTCAATCACATCGAAGGTGTTCTTGACAAACTGGTTCCTAGATTCCTCATCCCATTCCTTGCCATTCTTCAGTTTAGTTGGGGCATATTGGACGAACAATGAACATACTACATTTTCATCATTATTTTTATTTAGAGATGGGTCAAGGATCTAAGGGATAACCATTTCAACCATTGGTCTGCGGCAAATCTCTCCATTCAAAGCGTCTAAATAGGCATCATGAATGTCACGCATGTGCTCTGAGTTGATATGTGTGGTACCCTAAAGGTAGTTATTGTATATCCCCATCTTTTCTCTCATGTTTTTAGCATGCTTAGCTTTATCATTGATGTGCTCAATGCATTTAAACTTAGGTAAGTCATTCAAGACTAGATTGATCTTACAAGCGGAACCTTCATAGTTGACATTCTTTAAGATTTTCTGATAGTTATCAGGGACTGCTGATTGCTCTTTGATAAGCTAGTTGAAGGTCACATGATGAGTGGCGTTTGAAATAACTATTGGAGCATTTATGACAGTGCCATCGTGAAGTCTAACACCAGATACTTTGTCTCCAGAAGTGAAAATCTGACTGACTTGACTGTTAGTGCGAATTGTAACTCCTTTTTCCTCTGCTAGTTTAGCTAAGTACTAGGTGATGGAACCCATTCCTCCTTTAACATAGTACCATCTATTTTTGCCATCAATCTCACCCATTACATGATGAAGCAAAATATAAGACGAGCCTTAAGAGTATGGGCTGCCCATTGCTCCGATAACCCCATCACTGGCGAGTGTAGCTTTAAGTATATCAGATTCAAAGTATTAATCTAACACAGTGGACACAGGTGCAGTCATCATCTAAAATATCTCAGTATTGCTTTACAACTTAGGCTTCTTGATCTTAAGCCCAAGCTTGATAGTATCAATTAATCCTTCAGGCGGAGCATTATCTATGATTGGGTTAATTATATCAACTATCTCATCTAACTTATTTACATAGTCTTGGTAGTTCTTTGCATCTTTAGTTGAGAATTTAGCAATTTCCTTAAGTTCATCATCATGACCTAGTAGTAAGTACTTATCGGTACCACTCTGCTTGGTAGGAGTGAAAGATGGGTAATATCTGCGGTAAAGCACGAGCTCATCTCTCCAGTTGGGAGGAAATATCTCCTTAATGATGTTATTTCTCAAAAGCGATAAAAGATAAGAAGCTCGAGAAAAGACGTAGCCTGGGAATATCTCCTCTGAGACTGCTGCCCCTCCAACGATGTGTCTGTTTTCCAAGACTAAGACCTTCATATTCTCCTTTGCTAGGTAATTTGAACAGATTAGACCATTATGCCCTGCTCCTATTATAATTGCATCGTATTTTTCCTAATAGGTTGAGAATTATCTAGATAGGAGTTGCTTTGCTAGAGTACTTTGATGCTATTTATAAGTATTTGAGATTGTTTTTAACATTTTGATTTTAATATATGATAATTTTAATACAATATACTTATAAAAAGTTCTTTTTCATCTTAAAATAGTGATCCATCAAGAAGGGGTTTTGGGGTTTTGGGG